ATTGTGGGTCTATATATATATTTTTTATATTTTATTTTCTGGTACTTGCAAATCGCAGTTCAAAGGAGTCTTTTGTATTGTTGTCTCTGTTGTTGTTGCTGTGCTTTGTCTCTTTGTTGGCGGTTGCACTTGTTTGGTCAAAAGGGCGCTAACAAAAGGTCGACTCAGCCACGCTCCGATGACATCGTCCAGCTGGGGGGTCACTCCAAGTCCATCTCGTTCATCTGTCCATCTGTCCCTGCCTCCATTTGTCCGCACTTGTCCATTATTTATGCCTGTTGATGTTTGTTCATTTTTGCATTACACTTTGCCACACAACACATACACACACAGTTCTAATGGATTGCAACTCAAAGAAAGATGCCCATTTGCCCCATTAACGCTAAAAACACTAAAACACATTCGACAATACAGAAATATATGCAAACACACATATATATATACATATATAAATATGTATTCTTAAAAAAAAAAATAATAATAATATATATATATATATATATATATATTGTTATTTATTTTTGTGGCAGTCTCTTGATTTTAAAGTGGTTTCAAACCGGACTAACTAATTATAATGCGCTTTTGTTATTCGTATATACATATAATTTATATATATATATAATGTATATATCTTGTATATATATTAATTCCTAGATGATTCTCAAAATTTGCCGTTTGCTCTTGGGCCATTTATCATTATCAGATGTCGAAATCGAAGTGGCTGCAATTGTTCCTCATAGTCCTAAAAGGCCAATGCCACAAGAGCACGTGTTGGGGTTGGGAGTGTGTGTGTGTGTTGTATGACCACGTAAAATATCAAGAAGTGAGTGCGGTTAAAAAAGACTGAACGCGCCCCTTAAATAAAAAAGTAACGTTAGTAAAAAATACAAACAAATAAGTAGCAAATACACGTTGTAAGTCGTTGCGCAAATACAAACGCAAGATTAGATGGCCAAGGTAAATAAAATAAATATTATTCTACGCAAAACAACATTGGCAAACAAACACACACAACAAACATACACAACACATACAAAATAGACATGTATAACAAAAATAACGAATGCCCGGCGCAATAATGAATTTTCAATTGAAATGTTCGCTCGCCACTTCGTCGCAGGACAAAGGTCCTGCTGCTGCTCAAATCCTGTATCCAATTCCATCGAAGAGTTGTTGCTTTGTTTATGAGATGCCGCCGGCAACAGCCGAGCCTTCATCTCTTTGTGGCACGTGCTGGCATTAAAAATGAATTTGGTTAGCTAAGCAACTCCGCCGCAAGCAATGGAAATGATTCTAATCCAGGGAGGGGGAGTTGGGAGCAGGGTATATGGGTAATCTATTACTCTATTTGAGTCCCCCGATGACTACTTTGCAAATTACCAAGTCAAGAGACCATGTCCAAAACCTATTCTTTGTTGCAAGTTCCATTAGGTAAAAATGTACAATTTTACTCAATATTTATTTATTTAATAAATGCATTATTATTATTTATTTATATTTTGTCTTTTTAAAAGTAAATATATACATATGTACATATTTTTTAATACTTCCTATACAAAGAAATAAATTTCGAAAAACTAGATATAAAAATACTTTCTAAAATTCAGAAAGGAATCATGAAAACTAATAATAATAACAATATTAGAAAGGCGCTTATCTAATCTTTTTTAAATTTTTCCTTTTGTAAGAATCGAAATAATAAAAAAAAACTATAAAAATGTGCTGGTTTTTGTTGGTTATTTCTGAATATACGAAAAAATACAATTCTTAACATTTTAAACAGTTGTTCTAAATTATTTATCTTTGATTAAATGTTATCGTTGATTAAGGGAATAGGAGAATATAAAAAATAGTCATTTATTTTAATATTAAAAAAGCATGTTCTACATTTACTTTCTATTTGAAATGTTTGCTATTGGGTACAAAATTAAATTGTAAATAAATATACTATGTTTATATTTAAAATATACTATGTTTGTATTTAAAAAATGTTGTAAAAAAAGATAGCAAATATATTGAATAGAAAAACAAACTTTAAACTTCAAATGGAAATAATTCAAAACTGCTAGAATTAAGCTGTTGTTGGGTTTTTTTTTGTTTAATTAAATAATAATGCTTTTTGAAACGATAACAATGCTAAATAATAATAAATTTATAAAATAATAAGTGGTTAGTAAATTGTCTATTTTTTTTTTTTTTAGAAAAAATCAGGTTGCATTTAAATAAAGAAAGATCGCAAATTTTTAATAATCTCCTTAAATTATATTATATTATTTGGAAATAAAGAGTTACTTGTAAGCTGTGAATGCATTTTACTTAAAATAAATTCTTAAATTTTTATTATTCTGATGATTGTTGTCGAGGGTTCATAGGTAGAGATCCAGCAGACTTATGATATATGTAATATATATGTGCTGACACTTTCCGCTACTTATTTCCTGAATACTTGGGATAATATTTTATGGGATATGTATTCATGCATTCGTAGTCATGCATTCGAATTCTTATGTGTATTCGTGTAAAAACCAAACCAAGAATACATTGAAGTAAACTTTGCGGAAGCTATTTGTAAATGTACAAGTCAATATTTGAATTGATGAGTGTGTGTATGTGTATGCTCTGCTGCCGAGTAACGGAAGTCATCATTATAAATAAAATGTTCAGTTCAAAGCAAATCGGAAAAACAATCATTTGTTGTTTTTGCAGCGCAAATTGTCGCTGGCAACTAACAAAATGCGGTACGAAACGGGGAAGACCCCCTCTCGCTGACGCATCCTGCCACACAGACAACAACCCCCTTCCCCTGCATCACACTCTACACTCCACTCTACCACAAATCCCCCCTCGGGGATAGATAGGAAGCTCTTCCAGCCGATCACATTTGGTATTTGACAATGGCTCTGACTTTGGCATGCATTTTCTATGTATATACAGATATTTTAACTCCACTATATATATCTATCGGACAACTATATTCTATATCTATTCAAAAAAATAAGTTATCCTTTTTATAAATTTATTTAAACTCGTCTATTAAATCTATTAAGAATATAATTTCATAGCTATGCATTTTAAATTAATATTAAAAGTTCCATCACATTGTTAATTATTAAAATAGATTAAATACAATATTTATATGCTTTAAATTAAAATTTAAAATTCAACAAAAATTGTTTGTTGTTTATTTTATTACATATAAAATAAAATATTTATGCACTTTAAATTAAAATTAAAAATACAAAAAAAAAAAAAAAAAAATTGGTTGGTGTTTATGCTTTAAAAGTAATTTAAAAATCAAATACAATATTTATGAATATCAAAAAGTGCAAGAAATATTGATGGCTTTTTTTAATTGACTCAATTAAATCAAATATAATATTTAATATTTAATGCTTATGCATTTTAAATTAAAAATCAAAATATGAAGCAACAAATTTGGGCGTATTTAATTGCGTCAAATTATTCAAGTATTTATTATTATGCTTGGAATAGTTTTATGTCTTATTCAGGGTCACATTCCGTGGCATTATTTATAGATATTTAATTGACCAAAGACGGAATACAGCATTATCGAGAATTAATAACTTATATTCAAAATTGTAGAAATATAAATATAATTTATTTAATAATTTAAAGACTCTGTCTTTATTACATATATATATATATATATATATACGTAATGGAGATATTTATCTATAAAAATATATTAATAATAATATGCTGATTCTGATAAACATTTTATATACTTTACGGGTTCGCAGATGGTTTCTCCTGTCTTTCAAAGCATTCAACCATTTTTAGACATTTTGAATAATATTATGTATTACATATTTATATATTACATTCTTTATATATTTTACTTGAACGACATTTTCGAAGGTCAAATTATTTCCATTTCAATTTTTAATACATATTTATATTCTATTATATATAGTATTTTAGTATTTATAATTGTAATCTCTTAGAAATTAATAATTAATGATATCATTTGATTTATGTAGCATTAATTGTTGGACAAAAATAACAATTTATACTGCAACAAACTCTCGGATTTGGTCATGTATTATATATATTATATATTTTTAGAAACAAACGATTGATTTGTAAAATTGAATTGTAAAATATAGGGTTGGCACAAATCGTAGCTAGCTGAAAATTAAATCGCCTTTGCCTCTTTCTTTTTTTGAGGGGGTGCGGTGTGCTCAAATGTGTGTGGTGTGTATGGAGTGTGTGCATAAATGCGAGGGCTCATGATGCCTGCAGTTTCGCTGTTAATAATTTGTCATTTTATTTAATAGAAAAAAGAAGAGAAAAAAGTCAAAGTCGAAGTCGAAGTGGAAGTCAGCTAAAATAGGCCAGGAAAAAACGAGTTTTTGCCAAGGGCTGTAAAACTCAAGCGAACGGAAGTTGATCCAGAAGACTTAGCTAAAAATAGCAAATATATATAAATATCAGATTATGCACTCGGCAAAAGAAAGGAAGGAGGCAAATATCTACTTCTGGTCTTCGCAGCAAGAAATCGAAATTTTTTTAATTGTTTTTTGTTTTTGCTTTTATATAGAAAGAAACCAAAATGGATTTTAATTTATTATTTTGTTTATTTTGTGGCCACATAAATATACATTTAAATATCTTATTATATTATTTAATATATCTTTTTATTCAATTTTAAAGCAATCAATTACAATTTTAACATACTTAATATTTAAATTAATTTAAATCAACTAAATTTTTCTTTCTCTTTTTTCAATTTCCTTATTTATTTTTTTAAATTTAGATATATTTAATATAAAGCATTTCAAGCAATCATCTAATTTTCGATAATTACGTTTTTTGGCGTATTTTTTTTTACTGGCACAATATAAAAACGGCCATTAACAGAATAATAAAAATCGTATTAGACTAAATAGACTAAAAATATAGTTCGTAATAAATATTTTTTTTTATTTACAATTTCCACATGAAAATTAATTTGTAATATTTTTTGTTTTATTTTTCAGCATGTCGGCAAAACGAAAATCGCCGCCCAACAAAATTGATGGCGACTCGAACAGCTTGGAAGGATTAGTAGAGGTTGCCACGTCGGGACGACAATTCCAATGCAATCTGAATGAAATCTCCGCTGCCAAAATGCAGCAACACTTTCTCAACAATAACAATATCAATAATTATAATGATAGCGATGTTGTGAGAAATAGCAACGATTGCGATTTTATTTGTAATTCACAACTCACAACAGTTGACAGCGAGGGAGAGGGGGAGGCAGAGGCAGAAGGCGAAGGGGAGGCAGAGGGCGACGGGGAGGGAGAGGAGAGTCTTATGCGAATGGATCTGGGACTAGGCCTCGGACTGGGACTGGGCCTGTCCATGGTCTCCTCGGCCAGCGATGGAGAACACACCGATCTGGATATCGACACGAGCAGCATTAGTCCCAAATTAGCCAGTTTCAATGAATCCGATGTCGATAATGCTGTAAGTATATATATATATATATATATATATATATTTATTTATTTATTATTTATCATATGTACAAAAGTAGGCAATTTGATTGAATTTATTTAAAAAGAAGTTTAACCTTCATATTGTCTGAGTAATATGTATCGGGTTGGGGATTTATCGATCTCTTATGGGAGTTACTGGTAAACAGTAACTTTCAAAATTTGGTGACTCAAGCTTACAAATTGTGCAATATATGCGCCGAAGTTATTGTGGCGGTGGGTGTAGGCGTGGCTTATGGGAATCTTTGAAAGAGGTTATCAGCAAGTTAGCTTCCAAGTTTGATGACTCTATCTTTAAAATTGTGAGAGATATGCGGACTTATTGCATGGGTTCAGGGCACCCCACCCCATGGTCCACCGGCAGCATTTACCTTCTTTACAGATGGCTGAAAGCTAGACAACCGCCTAAGCGGAGGGGTTTACTCTGAGCAGCTCAATATACAGCTATCCTTCAGCCTTCCGACACATTGCAGTGTATTTCAAGCTGAAGTACTGGCTATAAAAGAAGCACTCGATTGCCTAGAGAGGCTCAAAGCACGATTGTAGGACAGATCCCCAGATCCCATACGGTAGCACAATGGGCCAAATACGGACTATGTGTGTCAGCCCATCGGGCTGACAGACGATACAACCTAACCTAACCTATTGCATTGCAATTATCGGTTTTATCGATTTCCTAGATTCCTAGTGGACGTAGCATTCCAGTACATGTTCCCAGTTTCTGGTCTCAATCTTTAAGGGTGTCATCGAAACTGTCATCGAATTAGTAACAATCTTATTTTCTTAAGGATAAACTAATATCGGTCTTATCGACTTTGAAAAATTCAACCTAAAGTAGGAAAATAATAATTATGCTTTTCGCTTATTATATTTGAACGAAAATGCAATCTAACTGTAAAACTATAATAAACGTAATATTTAAAATACATGTTCAGTACATATATTAACCTTGATTTTTTCAGCTTTTAGTTGCGAATACAAAGCGTTTTAAAAAGTCTTCTAAGACCCGTCCGGTGAATGGCATTTCGAAAATGGCGACACATAGTCAAAACTTAGTGGATACAGTGGATGCAGCTGTATATCCCGTGATGAACTCAGATGTCGACGAGGTCGAGGAGGTCGGGGCCTCACTTCACTCACTCAACAGCCAATATAGCAGTACGGTGATAAAGGAGGAACAGATTGAAACTCAATCCACAAGGCTGAGCACTGTTGTCACAGAACCAGATGTTATCGCCATGGAGTACAGTGTTTTCCAGCAGCTACCTTGTCGAGACTCCGTTGCCAATAAGCATTTGCTGGACGGCGAACAGTTTTTACAGTTGCCAAGTTTAATTGCGCCCGAGAGCGATTTGGGAAAGCAGATAAGGTGAGAAACTTACGAATAACCCAATCCTTGAAGAATACCCTTTTGCTGGTAGTGGCAAAAGGTCCTCCGTCATTACGGATGATAACCGGAGTAGAAGACTCGCACTTGCAAAAGGTTGTATTTATAAAATTAATACAAGTATTTAATTATATACTCGTATAAGAACTCCATCGGTAATACGCCTACATACATAAAAGGTTTGTAAGTTGTACTACGCGTATGAAGTTAAATATACGCTATTTGAGCTGGAATTACCGAGCCTGCTGACACCAGACTTGCCCTCCAATAGGGTTAAGGGGTTTAAAAAGCACTCAATCCAATTGCAGATCCTTGGATATGAGTCCTGCATTGATATTTTCGTCACTACCTCGCTGAGTTGGGAGTGGGTGCCTTCCTTAGATGTGTTAGCCGTTATTCAGGCTACCTCTCCGGAATCGAACCCTGATTCCCCGTTACAAGTTACAACCCTGGTAGTCCTAGGTACTACTAAATACCATCAAGAGTTGATAGGGCAGGCATTTGAAAGATCTGTCGCCGGTACAAGATTATACTATCTACATGTTATCTAGAGTTCAACTTAATCGCTTGGTTTTAGCCTAATAACGGAACACGTTTCATAAGGATCGTGTTTTAATTGCTCTAGAATGTTTTAGCTCTAGGAACTAGAATCTAGAATCCAAGTAACTGTTAACGATGTATGGCTTAATCTGTGAGACGAGCATATACTACTGGCAGGATCAATCAGAATAATGTTTTTCTTAAAAAACCAACAATTTAGCCTGATGAAAATATGCAGAAGGACTCCTGACAAATTGAACATGGCCAATTGAGGAGAAGGTCGGATTGAGTTCCTGCCAATTTTCAAAGTTCAATATTTACGAGGGGAGTTGGCGAGGAATGGGTGTTGTTGCTTGGGGGCGTGGATGACGTCTCCAATGAGATTGGGTTCGTGTTGGAGTTTTGTGGTCGTAATTTGTTGCTCTCAAACTATAGTCGCAATTTCCGTTTGTAGCATTGAATTATTCAGCAACAGTCTAAAAGCATAAACTGAAATTTGAGCAGTCCGACGAAGGGATGGATAGACGGTCAGAGGCAAGGCGGACGTGCCAATTGCGTATAGTGGTTCAATTTAATTGAAAAATTTAACATATAAAATTGACTGGAATTTGTTTATTTATTTACAACAAATCAAAATAATGCAACTAATATTTATTTAAATTATTAATCAAATGTAATATTTGAATTTTAAATTAATAAGATTTATTTAAAAATATTCAATTTCAAACAATACGTGAAAAAGCCAAAAGTGTGAAACCATAGACTTGCTTGAGAATTTTTTCATTATTCTTATTTAGATTAGAAAATAAGATTCATTTTTGAAATAGGGCAAAGGCTACGAAGCATTTAGAATAAAAGAAAAATATGTTTATATGTTTCAGCTTGCTTGAAAATTTTCTAATTATAATTTTGTTTAATTTTAAATTAATATTAAATAAATATAAATGTTTTTAACCAGTGTGCAACGTATTCAGCGCCAGCCAAGTTTCGCCACAAAATTATTTGGTAGTTTTAGGTCGATGTTCATTTTTAATGAAATTAAATTCGGCGATTTTCCAAACAGGAAGCCAAGTGTATTCGCCGTAATCGCCGAAACTTTGATACACCTATTGCCTAACACAAATCAACAAAAGACAAAAAAGAAGAAGGCTCTAGTTAATCAGAGTGCTTAACTAGCACAAGTAGCATGATTAAAGAGAGACTGATTAAGTGGAGACTGATTAAGTAGAAACTCAGTAACGTATAATTAACAATTTTTTTTGTGCTATTTGATTGTTTTATATTCGTATGATTAATAAAATAAATTAATTATATTTGAACAATGGAGAACTGCGATAATTGGCGTCATCGATAGACAAGTATATATTTGGTATGGTATATATAGACACTAGCTCTTAATGCTTAATGATTATTAACAATATCTCATTTTGTGGTAATTATTTATAATATTTTCGTATAATAATAACAAATTAATTTAAGAGCTTTCGATAGACAATGATATAATTATCGACATTTATAGCTATTAACTGTCGGTATATTTAGATAGTTTCCTGTAATGTATTTATTTATGAACATAAACAGTAAAAATAATAGTTAAAGTTATTTAGTTTTTTTTTTATCATATATATGTATATATCTTATTATATATTTTTTGTTACAATAAGTATATATTATTATAATACTTAAATATACTTAAAGCATAAATTAAATAATAAATTATTATTATTTATTAATGAGATTTGATAGAATTAAGATTCATTTAGCTCTTTTTTTATTATTGGCATTTTATTCTGAAGAATTAACTTTGAAAAATTATTAAAAATGTTTTTAGAAATGTTAGAGATGTCTCCTTTCTTTTCTCTCTGACATAAAATCAATGAATGTATATATATATATATATATATATATATATATATATATATATATATTTATTATTTACTGATTGATTTTTTCTTAATTACAGAGAGAACCTAATGCCAACCGAGGGCGGAGGAGATGCACAATCCCAGCGAACCTTCGAAAAGGATCAAACTGTCTCTGAAATGATTCGACATCTGCAACTGATTCGAAGTCGACTGATCAGCCAGGTAAAGTATATATATAATATTCAATTCAATCAACATTGTGATTACATTTAAATGGCATTCAAATCAACAACTTGCAAAACGAGCCTTAACAAATTTGAATAGCTCGGAGACCGAGGGCTAAAAAGGTCCAATGCGCACATTTATTATTTATGCCTCGAGGCTTTCAATTGTCAACCTCTTTTATTCAGCATAATATGTAAATTAAATTGAGCTCTGTTTGTATATACTTAATTTTAGCTCAGTTTTGAGTGCAGACCCGAATTGAACCCAGTCACGTATCACTTTTTTATTCTTAACAATGGCAAACAAACAATTGAATATATTTTTGCTGACAATGACAATATTTTGTAGCCCTTTCTAATAATTTTACTTTTTTCTGTTTCCGTTTTATTTTTTCTTATTCGAAAGTATTTATTTCAATAATAGAAATCATTTCTAACAAGAAAAAGAAACGTTTTTCTTATTTTAAGAATCTGTATTCTGTATTTTTAGAATTTATTTCTTAAAATATATCTTAACATAATATAAAAATGTACTAAAACTTAACAGCAAAAATAATAGTTTATGTTATTTTGTTCTTTTTTTCAAATAGGATTGGTGTTGAATTAAATTAATTATTGTTCGGAATTTCTTTTCAATTCATGAGCACGAATGCGAAATATATAGACACTTTAAGAATTCCGATATTTGTATATAGAAGTTTTAACACAGGTTTCTTTAAAAAAAATATATATATACTATAATTAAACAGAAGAAAAAAATAGTTTATGTAATTTAAATTTTAATTCAATATTAAAGCATTCACAATGCCAAATATTTCTCTATCAATTTAATGTGTAAAATAAAATGATTAATCATAGTTATTCCATATATATTAAATATCTAAAGAAGTTCTATAAATTATTATATATCAAAAGTAATTTTATATATATATTTTCTATTTTTAATTATATTCGTTTAATATTTATTATTATTATACTTAAAGTATACATTAATTCATTCATAAATCTATGCTTATGCTGATCAACTCTGATTAATCTACTATATATTTTTACGAATTTTTATTGAAATAATATACAATTTTGCTGCTGTCTAATTGTATCGATTGTCGTTTCGATATATATCGAAGTTTTATCAATTTGAGTCCGGATTTAAAGTATTTCATTCGGGTCACAGAAAGATCAAAGCTTAGCAAATGTAAAAAATAACCAAATAAAGCAATGTACACTATAGTATAAAAACAGGAATATGGCGAATATGGAGTCCTTTGAGGAAATGATGTATGTATGTGTGCTTGTGTGTGTGCATGGATGTGTGCATGTATGTGTGCGTGTATGTGTGTGTGTTATGAATGCCTTTTCTTCTGTTCTTTTTATTAAATATTTTATTTTGCTGTTTTCTATTCATTACATTCATTTTGCATTTGCCTGGCTTTGTGCCAGCCACACAACCTTCTATTATTTCTGCTTCTTTTTTCAGCTCCATTGTGTGTGTGCTGTGTGTGTGGCCTCTATGTGCATTCTATTCCATTCTGCTGCTCAGAATTCTCTTTCAGGTTTTTGTTTTTTTTTTTTTTGTGCCATGCTTAAATTTTCTTTTGAAACGCTTTTGTGCTACGCTTGGCATTCAAGCTCTGAACAATAAGCTTTTCTTTCCATTTTCACGTTTTCCGTATTTTTCTCTTCTTTTTTCTGCTTTTCTTCCCAATTTTTTTTTTTGTTGGCTCTGACAGAGCTTTTCCCATTTTCCCTTTTTTTCTCTTTTTTTCGCCTCAACTTGCACTTAGAATCCTTGGCTAAGATATAGATTTGAATTTATGTATAAGAAATATATATATAATTATATAATATATATATATATATATAAATTAGGATACATATACCCCGTTAAACTATGGAAGAAGGCCTGGGAATGTATAATTAATTATTGTTAAGTTTGCCTTTTTTCCCCATTCGATAAGCTATCGATTAATTGCTGAAATATTTAAAAGATTACAACGCTAGATTTTTTGATAACTTTTTTACGTTAAAAATAATCAATTAATTTATTTATTTATTTAATGTCAAATAAAGTACGTTGACATAAAAAATACAAAAAGGAAAAAAATGTAAGTAAAATAAATTTAAAATAGAATGGAAAATTATATACATATCTAAATTAGATAATATGAAATATTTATAAGATTTCTGGGGGTAATCAAATGCAAAATGTTCCAAAATTTGTTGCATGAATTGGGGAAAATCCAGTCAGACCAAATAAATAATTAATAATTCGAATTATTTTATACAATACATACATATATATAGAATAAACAATATCCTGTAAGTTGTGCTGTGTACAGAACTATAAACTTTAGTCAAGGAGTTGTTTGCATTTCTGCTTAAATCGATTAATCATCCATCCATCGTCAAAACTCTCAATAAACTTTGGAAATATGCCTTCAAAAATGTTTCTAGACTCTATATATAAATGAGTAAACGCTACCCTTTTTTGTGTACAGGAAACCGGCATAATATGCTTACTTTCATAAAAAAAAAAAGAATGGAATCATTGCTCAGCCAGAAAATTCATTGTATTCCTTGCCGAGTTATGCAAAACTTAACTGGGAAGAAGAAGTGAAAACTGTGAACAGGGAATGAGAATGAGAACTGAGAATGAGGTAGCAGATTTATGGTTCGTTGATGAGTGGGCAACTTATGCCGTGTACCCCTCTGGGCTAATCGGCTTGAAATCACGCTAATGTGATGCTTATCTGCCCGATACAGACAGACTGATGGGTCAAAGGCTAGCTCGAACAAAATCTGCATTTACTTCAGGGGTTGTTCTTTGCCCGTAATTCAAAAAAAAAGACAGCCGCAATTGATAGCATTAGTGTCAAAGAGATACAAATCGGCATCCAAAGCAGTTCAAAGGTTCTCATTAAAAACACATTAACACATATGCATATATATATATATATATATATATATATATATATAGTAGTATAAAAGTTATCTATATATATATATAACATTTATCTATATACTACCCTGTCTCAGGTTGTCATTTGCTTATTATTAAAATTATGCAATTTCCACTACATTTTCTGCATTGTAAAACGATTATAAAAGCAAGGGAAGAGTTCCTAAAAATATTTTGAAAAACAAATATAGCTACAATTCCCAACTGACAATCGAAACTAACCCTTCAAATAACCCCTTAGCAGTTATAAAGAATTGTGGTTTGTGGACGTGATGAGGGGGCGTTAATCCTTTGAGTATTTGATCGGTTATCAAATGAAACAAGATAACAAAAAGTATAAAATAAATACAAAATAATATTTTAAAAAATGAAAGACAATATATTCATAAAGAATATATAAATAAATAAATCTAAAATAATATTGAAAAAAATGTAAAACAATATAAAGTAAAAAAAAAATAGTTACATAATTAAGAAATAATATATTCATATACAAAATGGTTAATATTTGTTAAAACAAAAATAATCCCATTTGAAGACTAGTTTTCTTTGTCTTTGAGAAAAGATATGAAATAAATCAAGTGTAAATTATAAAAAATATATTTATCAAAAAATAAATATTTATATTTATAATAATAAATAATAATTATTATTATAATAATAATATTATTATTGTTGCTATTTTATAATTATTGTTATTATTATTTGTTTTTATTTAGGTGTATTTTATTGTGTTCCGACAGGACTATTAATAAGTTATCGATAGATATGATATATTAAAAGACGAGAATCGATTCCTCTTCTTCTTCTTCAGGGCATCACTACAGTTAGCCGTTAAGAGTGACAACTGTACTCGTGTCTATCTCTCTCTCTCTTTTGTTTTACTCCACCTGATACATATGTACCTGTCTATGTACCTATGTCTACCTAAGCATAAATGTTTAGCAAACAAAAACTTTGAAATATCAATACATACATATAAGTAAGCGTGCTTGTGCTTGGCTATGTCAATGTGTGTGTGTGTGTGTACTCTGCTATTAGCTAAACATGTACATGAGCCACACTGTGTATATATGTATATGTGTGTGTGTGTGTATCGGAAAGCATTCTCATAGGTCTGCCAATAGAAAACAAATACATTTTGCCGTCTCACTCAAATGTGACTTTTGTATTTTGCACTTGCACGAGTGTATTGTTTGTGTGTGAGAAATACTTGCACATCAAGGAAAGATACGAAAGATAGGTGTACACATTTTATAGTTTATTATTCTTCTTTTATTTATTTAATGCGCACAGGTTATAAAAATATCAATTAAAGTTACGTATTAAATTCAATAACATTTAAAGGAAACAATAAAGTAAAGATTATAAAAAAAATATTTTTATAATATCACAAAATAAACTTCAATTAATTAAAAATGTAAAATGCAAGAAATAAATAAAATAACGCATATAATAAATAAGTATATGTATATTATATATAAGCCTAACAGAATTCTCTAATAAGAGATTTATTATATTTATTTATTTACATTAAATTTGAATTTAACAAATTGGTTTATTAATTTTTGGTTATATTATAGTTTACATTAGGTAAATGAATAAATAAATAAATGAACAAATAAGTAAACAAATGAATAATTTAAAAAATAAATACATAAATAAATTAATAAAAAAAATATAAGTATGTCTGTAATTTTAACCAGACATAATTATATATTTTCTAATATAATATTGATTTAAAACATAATAAGCACAAGCTGAAACTAAAAAGAGAAACTTAAGACATGCTTCTGAAAATTTTAAGGCTTACGATATAAATGAATAAATAAACTCTTAAAATCTGTTGAACTAATTGTAGCTAAAGTGTTTAGATTTAAGCTTATAATGCTGGCAGTAAATTTTTAGATTTAAGCTTATAATGCTGGCAGATTATGTATTTTAATTTATTTACATAGCTTTTTTTGAATTGTTTTAATTATTGTTACTTATTTTCATAATTAATTATTATTGTTAATTGGTTAGTGTTAATTATTATT